GACTTTGTCAGTTGGAAAGATATTACTTGGATCAGTTTCACACAGATTTGCGTAGTAGATGATAGCTTCTGTCGAAATTATCCAGTGGCCAGATTTTGAGTTTCCAATTCAGATGTGAAGCCATTCGAACGGGCTGATTAGTTAGGGATTAACTTTATATAACGTATGTCTAATGTAAAATGATATGAGATGAACCTTATGAAAAGTTCAATATATATCATATGAAAAATTGATATAAAAATAATTGATATACAATAATTGATATATAATAATTGATATATAAAAAACTAGCAGTCTAACCCGTCTTTGACCGTGTCTTTCATTACTGGGAAATTTTGCCGTTCAATTCGAGCAGCTTAATTCAACCACACCGAAATTCAATATGAGTAACAACATCTGGGTGAAACTGAGGCACATCCCGAAATGGGGGTTAACAATTTGAATGGGTGGGGGTGAAAAGGGAACTGTATAATAATAAATAATAATATTGTAATAATTAAAACTATTTTTATTAAAGCTTTTATGTTATATATATATATATATATATCCAAGAAAACATAGTAAATAGTAAAACGTTGCTGAGAAATATAATGGACAGGAAGTAGTGGAGGGCCACTGTCACCAACAATTTGGACTCAAAATCATTGGTCTATGGAATACTCATCTAAGGACATTGATCTAAAGAATACTCGTCAAAAACCATTAGTATATGGAATACCCGGCTGAAGAGATTGGTCTATGGAAAACACCGCTAAGGACACTCGTCAATGGAATATTCGTCTAAAGTCCATTGGTCTATGGAATACCTGTCTAAGGACATTGGTCTATGGAATACTCATATAAGGTCACTGGTCTATGGAATACATATCTAAGTACATTGGTCTAAAAATACTCGCATAAAGACAATTGCTCTAAGAAATACCCGCGTAAGGATATTGGTCTATGGAATACTCGTCTAAGGACATTGTTCTATAGAAAACTCATCTAAGGACATTGGTCTAAACAATATCCGTTTAAGGACATTGGCCTATGGAATACTCATCTAAGTACTTTGATGTATGGAATATTCATCTAAGGACATTGGTCTATGGAATAAACATCTAAGGACATTGGTCTAAAGAATGCTCGTCTAAAGACCATTGATGTATTGAATACCTCAGGAAATTGGTCTATGTAATATTCGTCTAAGGACTTTGGTCTATGTAATACTTATCTATGGACATTGCTATAGGGAATATTCGTCTAAGGACATTTGTCTATGGAATACATATCTTGGACATTGGTCAATGCAATATTCGTCTAAGGACATTGGTCGATGGAATTTTCATCTAAGGACATTAATGTATGGAATATTCGTCTAAGTACATTGGTCTATGGAATATTGATCTAAGGACATTTGCTATAGAATATTCATCTAAGGACATTGGCCTATGGATGATTCATCAAGGACATTGGTCTAAATTATACTCGTCTAAAACATAAGTCTATGTAATACACGTCCCAGGACATTGGTCTATGGAATATTCGTCAAAGGACTTTGGTTTACGGAATACTCACCTAAGGACATTGGTCTACGTAATTATGATCTACGGACATTCGTCTAAATAATTATCGTCTAAAGAACATTGGTCTATGGAATTCCCGTCTACGGATATTGGTCTAAAGAATATACATCTAAGTACGTTGGTCTAAAGTATACTCATGTAGAAAACATTGCTCTAGGGAATACCCGCCTAAGGACATTGTTATATGTAATATTCGTCTAATGACATTGGTTTATGAAATACACTTCTAAGGACATTGGCCTATGGAAAGAATACTCATCTAAAAACATTGGTCTATGGAATACTCATGTACGGACATTGGTCTAAAGAACACTCGTCTTAAGACCATTGGTCTATGGAATACACGTCTAAGGACAATGGTCTATTGAATATTCATCTAAGGACATTGGTCTATGGAATACTCATCTAAGGACATTAGTCTAAAGAATACTAGTCTAAAGACCAGTGGTCTATGGAATACCCGTCTAAGGACATTGGTCTGTGATATACTCATCTAAGGACATTGCTCTAATTAATAATGATCTAAGGATATTGGCCTAAAGAATACTCGTCTAAAGACCATTGGTCTATGGAATACCTGTCTAAGGACATTGTTCTATTGACTACTCTTCTAAGGACATTGGTCTATGGAATACTCATCTAAGGACATTGGTCTACGGAATCCACCTCTAAGGACATTCGTCTAAAGAATAATCGTCTAAAGATCATTGCTCTATGGAATACCTGACTAAGACATTAGTCTATAGAATATTCTTCTAAGGACATTGGTCTATGCAATACTCATCTAAAGACATTGCTATAGAGAATATTCGTCTAAGGACATTGGTCTATGGAATACTCCTCTAAGTACATTGGTCTATGGAATATTCATCTAAGAACATTTGTCAATGGAATACTCACCTAAGTACATTGGTCTATGGAATACTCATCTAAGGACTTTGGTCTAAAAAATGCTCGTCTAAATCTCATTATTCTATGGAATACCCGTCTAACGACATTGGTCTATGGAATACGCATCTAAGGATATTGTTCTATGGCATAAACATCTAAATACATTGGTCTAAATATACTCGTCTAAACTCCATTGCTCTATGGAATACCCTTCTAAGGACATTGGTCTATGGGATATTGGTCTAAGGACATTGGTCTATGGAATACTCATCTAAGGACATTGGTCGATGGAATGTTCGTCTAAGGACATTTGACATTTGTTGTATGGAATATTCGTCTAAGGGCATTGATGTATGGAATATTCGTCTAAGGACATTTGCTATATAACATTCATCTAACGACATTGAACTATGGAATACTCATCTAAGGACATTGGTCTAAGAAATACTCGTCTAAACGGCATATGTCTATGGAATAACCGTCTAAAAATAACTGTTCAATAATAATAGTTTTTGAATAATTTGCCACTTTATCTGTGTACAAAGTACTGAATTTTATTGATATTCTCTATTTTTGAAAATAATATTTAAGATATTTATAGCAGCATTAATAACGTATGATACATGTGTTTTATAAGCATTTATTGGAATGCATTTTTTGAATATTAATACGACCCCCATTAGCCCATAATTCTCCAGACGAATATTTCACAGACGTATATTCTTCAGACATGTATTCCTTACACTAATATTATTAGACCAATATTCCTTAGAACAATGTTCTTTAGACCAGAGTTCTTAGACGAATGTTCTTCAGTGTAATGTTCTGGATCCCACCACAGTCATATATACGCAAATGCAAAAAAAAAAAAAAAAAAAAAAAATTCATTCGGACTTCCTTGGAAATAAGAACATGCTAAAATTAAAACACAAATATAAATTTTTTTACAAGACATTTTAAAAATATTAGTTGGCTATTGATTTAGTTTGATATAAAATCATTAGTACTTTCGTTATGTAAGCATCGATTCTTTTTTGTTTTTGTTTTTTAAACCATCATTTTACAATATGCATATGATATGACTTTTTTTATCATTTTGTAAATGATATACTATTTTAGGCTGCGAATATATCTTCATTGATTTAACTGGTAGGTTTGCTTTCACCGTTTATTATTATCTAGGATTTCACAGTAAAGATGGTTGAAATCTCCCTTTTCTAGGGGTCCAACTTCGGAAAACCAATTTTCGGAAACATCTCAGTATATCAACCATGCATTTTGTCAGAGTTGTTTCGACGAACGTACAGTTCAACATTGACTGCAGAATTCTGTAGCTGGGAAGATAACGTTTAATATGAGAACAACTTAATGTGCTAGATATCAACCAAGTTTGGGTCCAGACAAAACAAATAAAATGGTTACAGAAAAAATAAACGTTGACAATAAGTGGAAGAATAAAAAAAGGCTTGAAAATTTGTTGCTGCAACACTTTTAACAAAAAAAAAAGAAAAGAAAGAAATATAAGAGTCGCCATTACGAATTCTAGAGTGAAGAAAAATATCAGTTTCGCATTTTAAGAAAACATAGGCTCTATATAACAATTGATGTGTTTTTCACAATGTTTGGGCAATTATGTAACACTAAACATTCCCCTAAGTAATATTATCTTAAAAAGGATATTATGTTTAATTTTTGACGGTCTACAATTGGAATCACATTGTTGAACTGTTAATTTATGACGAAAACTTTAAAACAGAAAATTATTGGCAGAAAATGTACCAACAGGTTAATATTCTTCAATCGAAAATGACATATTCGTCTCTATTACAACACCTGACTGCATTTTTCCGCAATGACAACAGTACGTGAGTGAACTGGGCTAAAGAACTCTCACTCTTCCGTGTTATCTTTCTCAAGTGATAACAACTTTTGAATGATTTTAAAAAATTATCAGCAAGATATCCTGTTCAACAAGCAAATACAAACTTAAAACCTTATCGAAGATTTTCTTGGTTACTGTACCTCAGAATTCTATATTCATAGAATAAAAAATTTTGCTTTTTATTCATTTACATTAATTACACTCGGATTATTGTCGTCATATTTGCTGTTATTATCAAAACGTTTCGTTCCTTTTTCTTTTTCGACCTTCATTAGATGATTGTCAATACGGATAACCGCCATTTTAAACTATCACTTTATTTAATCGACGGGAATATATTGTTCTCGTTCCACTATCCATGTCAAGGGATATCACGCCTAGTACTTCATTTAATACTGCTTCGTCATTAATCGCTCCGTTTTTGCTGAGTCTACGGCCGCATTAACCGGTTCAGTGAATGGTTTCGCATTTACTATATCATCATATCCACAAGCTTTATCTCATAGACTGCTGCTATCCCTGCTTATAACGTTTGACTTCATTCACCGAAACTTATTTTTCTTTTCGCTGCCTCTTTTAAGCCTTGCTGTCAGTTCTCCTGCTTTATTTATTAACGGTTCTTGTATTTATTTCTATCCTAGGCCTTACTATTCAATCCAGGCTTACGGTCACATCATGTTGAAACATCAGTTCTCTTACGATCACCGAAGGTAAGCAACGACGAACCTGGTCAGTACATAGATGGGTGACCGCTTGGGAATACCAAGTTCCGTAAGCTTGGATATACGGTTTCTGTAATAGATGATGATCGAGATTTTTAATCGGAGAACCGACTTCCAATTTCAGTTGGATTCGTTATTTTCATTTACACTAAGAAAGGTATGAATCCACCATTTTTCCATCAACTATGGTATTAGTCAGAATTTTATCATTAAAACTAGTATTATCTCCAGTGGAAGTACTTACCATCTAAAAATGTTTTCTGACTTTAAATAAGCAGCAAAGGCTTCATAAGCCGTAGAAAACGAACGAAACAATCAAATACACAATCATGCAAATTCAGACAGAAACTTCTTTATTGTTGGCAACTTTTCATAAACACTTATGGATCATAGTTCGATTAATACATTATGTTTTAATGTGGCGTATACTGACGATATTTCTAAGGTAAGATATTTAATAATTTGACTATTTACATGGTTCGGACTGTTGTCTTCATCTTTTTTTCATAGTTACGACGTTTCGGCCGTTGTACGCTTCGGCCTCCTTCAGGCGATTGGAATTTCGAACCGAATCATTTATTTCGTCGACAGGAGTAGATTGTTCTAGTTCCACATGTCATGCCTTTTCTGGATATATCAGTTTCAGTTATTTTCCCTTTAACTTCACTCAATTTTTTATTCACCTCTGCTGTGGCCAGGTATTGAACTCACAACTTTTGGGGTCAAGTCACTGGATTAGCTTTGGTTGAAGTAATCCAAGAAAATAATCCGGAAGAGATATGGCACGTGGAAGTAGAACTATCTACCCTTGTGCCCGAAATAAAGTGTTCGGTCCGAAATTCTGATAAATACTGAGATATACTCTTTGAAATTTTCCTGTTAATGACCGAAATATATATATATATTTTTTTTTTTTTTCAGGAAACTTATCAATGGCAAAGCATTTGCAGCCATAAAAGGACAAAGATACAGAACCCGTGAAAGAAAGCCATTTCTTCCATTTTCAGATTTCGTAGACTGAGAATGAAAGTTGAGTTAAGAAAGAAAACTTATACGTCTATTGTTCGTTTTATTGTTAAATTGCGTATGTGAAATTGAATTGAGACATTTGGTGTGACCAAGCCGGCGGAGCACGAGAGCTAAAAATAGGAGAATGGCCCTTGCCCCGACGGTGTGCATTCACAGTCGAATCACATGACTCTTTCACGTGCGGCCTTCCCATAAAACGGAGCCTTAACTCGGCTAGGTAACAAGCTAAGCGTCACTAATGGTCCACCTGGAGGAAACGAGCGGACACTAACATCGTTAAGAACAAACTGAAGGTGACGACTTGCAAGTTGACAGATGGCGAGAGAGAAATAAGTGGAATGAGTCGAGAAGAGAAAGAATTAGAGTAAAGACAGATTGTTAGAAAGGATAAAGAGAGCAAACTAGAGAGAATGGAAGGCTAGTAACGGGTGAAGCGAGGCCTGACCAGTGCAAACAGAGAATCAATGTCGCGGAGGTTTTGAAAGAAGGGAAAAAGAGAAACGATGCATAGTCGGGCAAAGGTACTCTGGAAACTTTCCATGTGGAAAGCGAAGTAAATCAAATTTGATAGACTGATAGGGAACATGATATGTGATTAAACGGCTCTAATGTAATTTATCCCACTTTGAATATGGAAGAATTCCAAGATTTACAGCAGCCGGGGTCATTTTACTTCCAAACTCACGATGGGGGTGGAACGCGTCAATTTGCCGACACTTTCTTAGGGATGTAATGACAGATACATTATCACCTGTTCCCTGTCTACATTCTCCATCATATATCCATGCATCAAGAATAGGTGACAGCAGACATAATGAACCGTTGGACCGCACTTGTCACAATCTGCATTTCTATTATCCCCACCGGCAAAAATATACCCTACACGCAAGACGCTAGTGGCCTGCTGGAATCCGCCGATGGCAGTAGCAGCGTTACTCGGGTAACACCCACTGGTGGGCCAACTTTGGACTATTAGCGTTTCACAAGTGGCATGCCACGCAGTAGCAGGTTGGCGTCTTGTGTGTAGAGTAGTTATTTCTCGAATTTCTAAAACAAATTCAAGACTTGATCCACAGTATTTTTAATTGATTTCAGGTTGTTTCTTCTACATTATCCATGACAGGGACCTTTGCCAACTATATCCAGAAAACCTTGAAGATTTATTAATAGCCGCGCAGAGGTGCTCTTTCTGAATTTTTACAGATACAATCTAAAAATTTTTATTCGAAGGTTAACAAAAAAATGCAAGAACAGCAATAATTCCAAGGAATATATACTAAAAAATGTATTATTTGTGATCATTGTAAGATTAAAATTGTGATAAGTGATATAATAGGGGATAGAAAGGGATAATCGCGTTGAACCACGCACTGACAAGTTAAGCAGTGTTGATTTCGTTGTCCATGTTATCTCCATCTTTCTCTCATATATATATATATATATATATATATATATATATATATATATATATATATATATATATATATATATATATATATATAAAAGAAATATGTTGTAGTGGTTCCAACGAGAAAAGTATGTATATTAAAAAGAAGAGAGGTGCCGCAAACGTTTTTGGGTTGTAATATGGATTTATTTAGAAAAATATTATACTTTGTTTTACATAATTTTACGACACGTGTTTCTGGTCTCATGACCGTCTTCAGGTAAAAGTGGAGATTTCAGAGAATGTCTCATATCGAGAATATTTCACATTGAACATGAAGAAAAATTAATTATTTTAATAATATGTAGAAATCTCCACTTTTACCTGAAGATGGTCGCGAGACCAGAAACACGTGTCGTAAAATTATGTAAAACAAAGCATAATATTTTTTCTAAATAAATCCATATTACAACCAAAAACGTTTGCGGCACCTCTCTTCTTTTTAATATATATATATATATATATATGTGTGTGTGTGTGTGTGTGTGTGTGTGTGTGTGTGTGTGTGTGTGTGTGTGCAATGGGGGAAAAACTATTGGTACACATATGCATTTTTAATTTATTATATTTACAAACAATGAATAAACATAATATCCTATAATTAAGTGTACATAGATGCATAATAACTAAATATACATAGAAAAAAAGAACAGAATTTGATTTCATAGAAATAAATCCTATCAATTCATCAATCCTTTATAAGAAAAGTATGTATATTCATTTGTTGTAAGTACAATAACTAAAAATTTTGTATGTGTACGAATATTTTCCCCCACTATATATATATATATATATATATATATATATATATATATACTTTAAATATCAGGAGGTCAGCTGAATCCGCTACCTTCGTTTCAACCTTACGGTATCATCAGGCGATTTTTATCAAATGACCTCTTAACGTCTTATTTTTTTAATAACTAATGAACGCTATATTATTAAAAAAAAATTAAACAAACGGCCGATGTAATGAAAAGGGGGGAGGAGAATGTGAAGAAGGAAGTAGAAGAAGAGGGGTAAAGAGAAGAAAGTCAAGTGTGTTATAAATTTATCGGTTAATGACTTTTTTTCTCATCCAGCCTCTTATGTGCTTAAGAAAAATTTTCTATGTGAGCAAGGACTTAAGACTTCTAGATTCTGGTTTAAAAGGTTCTTTGGATCCGGAAATGTTATAATTTCTAATTTTCCCTGTTAGCAGATATTGCAAATATTGTGCTTGTTGTAATACTTTGCCTTTTTTTTTTTTTTTTTTAAAAAAAGGCCCTTACAATCGAATACATATTGTTTTTTTTTCTTTTGAATTCCAGAAAAAAAAAACAAGGTTCGATAACACGTGTTATTTTTACTTCTAGTTTATGTTTTTATAATTATATATTTGATAGATAGATAGATAGATAGATAGATAGATAGATAGATCATTCTTATCCAAATTAAATAAACCCAAACAAAAAAAAATGTAAGTCTTTCTTATCAAGCCATAATATTCATCTAAATATTAAATCCTTTTTATTATAAACATATTCTGATTACCAACACCCGACTGTATGGATAAACTCACGAATGTCGACAATACTTGAACATTGTTCAGAATTCATCTTTCTCTCATATCTTGAAAAAGAAATCAGCCTACATAAGTACTTGTAACACGTGTATGTCATTATGCTTCTTAATATGAATATTATCAGATATGATAATTCGGCAGATATTTGGGAATGAATTGCTAAGGTATTATCTTTTGCAGACTCCTTTGAGGTTTAAGGACTAATAATTGATCATTGATACTTGAGAAAAGATTGGTTAAATATCAGGTAAATCTTAGTATTTGGATAAGATTCACTAAGGCGTCTGGTTCATTCAGTGGAAAAACTGAAAGAGATGCAGACATTACACTCCTGAGAACGTACAATTCACTTTTAACATGAGACAAAAAAAAGTCTAATTATAAAGTGAGTCAGACTTTGAAAAGAAATTATTCGACGATAACAACTTTACTGTGTATGAGGATTTAATTATTTGCCTACCCATTTATTTTAGCGTGCTTTTTTTTTCTAAACAAAGAGGATGTGCTGAAATATTCTCGGGCGGCCCAGTTCCAAAAAAATCTGATTAAATTAGTAGTTAATTCCCTTTTGAGCAGCCCCCCCAATGTGTATGTGTGTGTGTGTGTGTGTGTGTGTGTGTGTGTGTGTGTGTGTGTGTGTGTGTGTGTGTGCGTGCGCGCATGTATATATAAATATATATATATATATATATATATGTGTGTGTGTGTGTGTGTACACATAGACACACGTATATGATGAAATAAGTGAAAAGCAGAAAACGTTTATAAATCTAACATTTTCCGCCTTTATTAAAGCTACATCTGAGAATAAAATTTACAGAAAATAAGAAGGGAAAACAAAATCTCGTATTTTTAATTTGTTGTTTTTTTGCTTTATATCGGTTTGACAGACATCAAATTAAACATACCAGATTTTTCTCGATATCTCATTCTCTGATGAAACTTTAATAAAGACAAAACATGTTAGATTTATAAACGTTTCCTGTTTGATCTTTATCGTATCATTCACTCAG